CCCCCGACACACACACACACCCTCACGCACACACACACACACACACACACACACACACACACACTGTGTGTGGTGCTGGAGTGAGTTCTGTGAAAGGCTGACCTTCCTCCCAGGTGTACTGACTGTGTCCCTACACACACACACACACACACACACACACACACACACACACGAGACTTACTGGCCTCTGTCATTCTATACCTACAGGATCAGTAACTCAGTGTGCCCAGGGTCACTCAGGTGTGTGTCTGTGCTGCTCCAAAGTGAGTTGCAGGATGTAGGCTGGAGCAGCATTTGATCTTGTTCTGCCTCTTCATCTCTAGTGGCACAGTAACAATGCAAAAGTCACAAGCTGTCATGGGTAGTGGCAGCTGTCTCATATTGTAGAGGAGGTGGGAGGCACTTCCTGTGTTCACCCCACCCAAGAGAAGACTTGTTCATTACCAAGGATGCACACCATCTTAGGGGCATTGGCCATACTTTCTCTACAAGAAATTCTGACTTTCTTCATTTTAATTTTGAGTATAGAAATAACAAAAAAGACTATGCCAATGAGAAACATTCCCCAATATCCCTGATGGTGATTCTGCTAACTTGCAATAAGAAAATACTGTGTCTATATTGTCAACCTTAAATTTCTGATAAAGCCTGATAAAGTTTTATGTAGTTAGTTTTGTTTTGCTTTTTGAATGAGTTGTTTTTGAGATGGAGTGTCACTTTGAAGCCTTATAATGGCTTTAAATTTGGGGTCCTCTGGCTTCAGCCTCTCTACTGCTAGGATCATCAGCATGTGCCACCATGCCTGTTCTCAAAGTAATATACATTATCATCATCATCATTATCCTTATTATTATTATTAGTTATCATCAAATGCACTTTATTATGTATGTATGTATGTGCACTTGCACGCCACATGTATGCAGGTATGCTTTGGAGTTACAGGCAGTTATAAGCCTCCTGACATGGGTGCCAGGACTGAACTCCAGTCTTTTAAAAGAGTAACATGTGCTCTTAACTGCTGAGCCATCTCCAGCTCTGACAGTATTGGTTTAAAGGTTAGGCCTTTAGTTCCTGTCAGATTTGCTGTCTTTTATGTGACAGAGCGGTAACTAAGACAATAAGAAAAGCTATCACTGTGAAGAGACACCATGACCAAGACAATTCTTATAAAGGAAAACATTTAATGGGGCTGGCTTAAAGTTTCAGAGGTTCAGTCCATTATCATCATGGCAGAGAACATGGTGGCATACACAGGCAGACATGGTGCTGGGGAAGTAGCTCAGAGTTCTATCCACATCCTGATCTATAGGCAGAGACTAGGCCTGGTATGGGCTTTCAAAACCTCAAAGTCCATCCAATTCAATTCCCAGCCAGTAACACACTTCCTTCAACAAGGCCATTCCTAATCCTTCTAATCCTTCAAACAGAGCCACTCTCTGGCTAAGTATTCAGCAGTCTAAGGGGATTGTTCTTATTCAAACCATCACACCTGTCATACATTCTTTTTTGGTGATTCATTTTAAAATATTTTCCTGTTTGGAGGCATTGAGCTTTTGCTATTAACTTACACGATACTTCAGCTTTTTCCCCTTCTTAGCCTCATAGTATAATCCTGCCTCATTTTCCATGGCTAGATCTAGTCCTATGGTTACAGGGCTCTGTTTCCTACTCTGTGACTGTGATAAAGGGCCATTCATAGGCTCAGAGGTTAAGAGCACTGACTGCTCTTCCAGGGGTCCTGAGTTCAATTTCCAGCAACCACATGGTGGCTCACAACCATCTGTTATGAGATCTGGTGCCATGTTCTGGTGTGCAGATATACATGGAAGCAGAATGTTGTATACATAATAAAATCTTTAAAAAAGGGGGGCATTCATAGTCTTAGAAAAGAATTTTAATTTTGAGAGAAACAATTAGGATATATTCCACAAATTGAAACCTCCAGTTCTTTCCCTCCCACAACACCTGACAACATTTTGCCATAAACCATATTGTGCCCAGGGTGCTGTAAGAGGCAGCCCACACCCTGTCCATCTGAAGCAATGGCACCTCTCACTGATTTCCTTTGTCCTCAGAACACTGTGACTCAGTTGCTCAGTAAGTCACAGAACTGTTGTTTGAAGAACCTGCCTTGTCATTCCCCTAAGATTGACTTGAGTATAGGTGCAAAAGGCAGTGTGCCCTCAAGAGGAAGGAGATGCTGAGGAACCCACAAAGCACATCTCATGGTCATGCAAGGCTGGAATGGATGTCCCCTGCTGCAGGAAGAGCAGCCTTCTACCCATGCTAGCACTAACCTCCCTTTGAAGCAGTGTCTGCTGGGAGGTCTTTTATTTTCTCATCTCTTTTACTCACACTTTTTTCTTACATTTTATTAGTTTATTTAGTGCATGTGCATGTGTGTGCAGGAGCATGCATGTGCCAGGGTGCATGTGTGGGGGAGAGGACAACTTGCAGAAGCCAGTTCTCTTCTTCATCATGTAGATCCCAGGGTCACCAGCCTTGGCAGTGAGTGCCTTTACCAGCCAAGCCATCTTGCTGGCCCTGTTTTTACATTTTCATAGTTTTTAAAGATGATCTAGACTAGAAGCTGGTGCCTAGAAATAAATACTTCCTTATGAAATGATGTGGTTTTAAAATCCTATCCTTGAATTTCTCAACCCTCAGGATTGAATCCAACGACCTGCCTCTGCTGACGGCGATCGCCAGTACTCATTCTCCTTATGTGGCACAGATCCTCTTATAAACGACTGCAGGACCGGACAGTTCTTGGAAGACGGTCAGAAAGCAGTAGGCTGTCAGTGACAGGGAAGGCATGAGAACACGGAGCAGTCACGGAGCTGCTGCAGAGTGGTTGCCTCATCCACAGGCTGTGTTCACTCGATGCCATGGCAATTTGTGATTGTTCACGAGTACTCTGAGCCTTTGTTTCCCAGGAATCAAAAGGAAGTGACCTTTCTGGCAGGAGGGAAATGTCAGTACTATAGACTAAGCAGATGCCCTCGTGCAATGTTGGACAGAATATTGAGAACCAACTTTGGAGTAGGGGATAACCAACGAATAGAACATTCCAATAGGAAAGTGTTTCCTGTTAAAGCGCGAGAGAGCATGAAGTGCTGCTCTGATAACAAGCTGTGGATCCTAGGTCAGAGCTCTCTTTACTGACAGTGACATGGAAGAAAGCCACATTGTGCCACTGTCTGCTCTGGGTACTGTTTCATGTAGGATGTGGAAGAGGATTGCCTATCGGGAAGAGAGTGCTTTGTCACTTCTCAGAGTTTACTGTGGTTCTAGTGCAGTCCTGGGCAGGTCCAAGAGGGACTGCTGGTGCAATAAATCCAAGATTCAATGTAGCACCCCTCTCGACAGGTGCAGCAGACAGCATCAGCGTGTGCAGTCTAACACTGGGTAATCATCTTCAGCTTTAGTGTCTACAGCCTTCTCCAGAAAGACCTTTACCAAAGTTGTTTCCATGAGCTCAGGCGAGCTTCTCTGGCTGAGCTCTCCCAGTTTGAGCCTCTCTCTCCTTCTGTCCATGAAGATTCCTCTCTGTGCTGTAAGGTACAGATGCCCTCTGGGAAGTGAACCCTGAAGCATCCGACAAGGGACAGCAGGCAGTTAGAAGCAATTCATTCGTGATCTCAGCTTTTACAGTCAGCTCTGCACTTTTTAATCCCTTTAATATTCTTTTAAAAACATCTTTCCAGAAATTGACCTGACCATTTATAAAACTTACCAAGGTGAAAAACTGTAAAAGCCCAGTTGGCCATGAAGCCTAAAGAACCTTAGATTACTGAGCGTAAAAGTCTGTGTCAAAAGACTTTAAAACCAAAAAAATCTGAAGTTTAAATGACAGGAGCCAGTCAGGTCAGGTCATACCCTGTAGGCTCCTGAGTCCTTCCTTCTCACGTGTCTCTGGTGCCTGAGAATGTTGGGATAGCATCCAGGGGCTCAAGCGACTTCTTCATAGTTTATATCTGATAAAATCCTGACCCGTGTGACGTGTTTGTCACCCTTCGTTACAAACAGCATCTACTGAGGACAGATGCCTGCGTCATCTCAGTCGACCTTTCCTTCCTCTCTCCCCCTCCCCCACCTCTCTCTCTCTTCTTCTCTTCCCTCCTCCTCTCCCTCTTCCTCCTTTCCTTCTCGCTCTGCCCTTCTCTCTCTCAATTTTTGTGATCAGTGAAATCAGATGATGCCTCAAGGCACTTAAGATCTTTAATTTGCATTTTATGCATTTCACAAAATTGAAATGTCCCATTCTTCTAAATATCTTTCCATTTTCCATTAGCTGACATTTGAGTAGCAGTTTTCAAATTGTTGGCTTCATGATGTCATCATTTGCCGGGAATCCCACCTATAGCTCAGCTGTCTGGGCACTTGTCTTCCTTGATGTGCATGAGCTGTCAAAGCAGATGTCAGCACAGCCTTCTACCCTTGCCAGCAGTAGGGTGCTCCCGTTTTTTTGTTTTGTTTTGTTTTGTTTTGTTTTCCTGGCTTCTCTCATTTACATGTGGACACTGCCTCATTCACCATCTTCAGAGGTTTTGGAGAAAATAACTCAATACAAAATCCATTCACTTCTCATAACACGTTGGCAGCCAGACTCGGGAATTGAGCTATCAGCAGGTTGATTCTCAGCCTCATGCATAAAAACTTTGCCCAGTTCTTCAAATCCTGAAAAAAGATCAAACCTGCCTCTTCCTCTGATGTTCCAAATTTCAGAAAACAGCCAGTGGGAAACTCTGGGTGTCGGTCACGTGGGGGTTAGCTCATTGTCCTCCGCCTCCTCTCTTGCTGCTGCAGAGAAGGGCATGCTGCTCCTCTCCTGACTCCCAAGGTGTGGGATGTCCACATTTTCTTTGTCTTAAATTCAGCCACTTCTCAAAAAGTGGAAAAACAGCAAAGCATCTCATGGACTTCCGTTGAGACACACCCACATCCTGCACCACGACGGCTTTGTTTTCTTACAGCCGAAGAGTCCAAAAAGGGACACCACCTTCTCCTAGGCCCAACTCAAGGGAAAACAAACTTTAAAAAAAAAAAAAATGTTTAAATAAAGAAATCTACCTCAGTTGACAGGATTCCTCCCACCCTTAGGGTTTCTTCAGCTCGTAAGTCTAACCTGCTGAGTGTCACTCTGGCAGAGCCTGGCTTGTTGGACCAAGCGGGCTAGTGAAGCATGGCAGAGCGGAAGTGTGTAAGCGTTCCTGTGATGACCTCTTTCTAGCATGTTGCAGTTTTATATTTGATAAGTTGGTAAGTGATATGAATGTATAGGTAATTGTGTATGTTTTTAAAATGACAATGAAAATTGAAAATGTAGCTTCCACACTTTGTTCATAATTCCAAAGTATCTTATTTTATCAGTGTTAAATAGCTTTTGGACAGCTTCAGTCCATTTTTCAGAGGTGTGCTGTTTTATACGGAAAGAATCTCATCATCTCACATCTCATGGAGCTGCCGTTTACACATCACAACTTTTTAACTTACTGTATTTTTCAGAATTAACTTTTTTTGGAGGGAGGAAATTCCCCACTTGCTAAACGATACTAAATTGTCTGAGCTTTTAAAATCAGGTCTTCAGATTTTATAAACTAGTACGTAGCTTTTTAGGTTCTTCGTTGGATGTACATAAAGAATATAAATGACCCTCAAATTGTTTTAAATGTCTGGAGTTTTTTCCACTGATGCACACTCGGGGTTGTTGTGTTCTCGAATACTTTCATCATTAATTGAAAAAGCCCATAGCTTCTTTTAATGTGAATTGGTTTTCTAGATTTTTTTTATATTGTGCTTGGTGGAGAGGACATTTTAATACAATTTTTTGCCTAAAGCAGCCCCTCTGAATGTTAATTTTTAAAACGTTAAAATTTGGTGAACATCTGGAACATGTGTTTGCATTATGTTTAAATTTCGGTGTTTTAAAAAGAAAATTCTGGAATGTATTATTATTGAACTTTCATTAAAAGAAATTGATAGGACTGTTTTTTAAATCAGTTGAATGAATACCCGCATCGGTGTATGAAAGGTTTTCTTACAGCAACATTCATGTATTATTTTAATCCATTTTTCTGTGACATTTGGTGCAATAAACTTTTTGAATTTATCTTGCACATTTTCTTGGTGCTGCATGATTTGTTGTATTTAATCAAATACAGTCTTTAAATGATTTGTGGTGAACGGAGGTCACTATTTGGAAGTTTGGTCACATTTTGGTTAGCACCCTGGTGGGTGAGAACACTGGCCCCAGCACACTGTCAGGATTTGGGCCCGGTGTGTCAGGAGACAAGATCTGGAGCCTGTGGGAATGCTCCAGGCCAGTCTGCGTGACCTTCCATTCCACCTGACATTCACTGGAGTAATAAACCTGTTTTTAATGCTCTAAGCTGAGAATTTGTGGTTTCCACCTGACATTAGCACATGGTGAAATTTCCAAGAATGTAACTGTTGTCTACCCTGGGGTTGTGAATTTACTTTGTAAAGATTTTAACAAGTGGTCACTTGGCCTTCACCTAGAACTGACAGTGTTTTGGAAATTTCCTCATCAACAGCTATGGCTAGCCTAAGATCAGGACATCAACACCATGCCTACCTGCCAGTCCGCAGTTGTAGCTCCTGCTGCAAAATGTGCATGTTTAAATAGCATATCCAGGGGCCAGGAGATGGCTCAACAGGTGAGGGTGCTTGCTGCCAAGCCTTAGGATCTAAGTTCGATCCCCAGGACCCACATGGAAAGAGAACAGATTCACACAAGACCAGCAAACAACTTTCTCCCATGCTGATGGGAGGATTTTTGCCACATCTTCAGTAGAGCAATACTCAGGTAATTGCATGATGCTTATCCATGCAGGAGCCAGTGTGCTTGTCATCTGCTGCTGGTTTTGTGACAAGAGAAAGAATCTTTTTTCATTCAGAAGTTGAACACCACCTTGCACACTGAGCATATTTAGAGCATCTGCTGATTCCTTCCTCCAGGACAGGGCTTGGACCACAGCGGTGCTTCCTCTTCCCATGTTTTGTAACGTTGGCCTTCCCCTTAGTAGCTATGCATGGGACCTCAGCCCTCAGTGTCTTCTTAACTTCTCAGCCTTCTCACTCTCAATCTACCTTTCAAGCTGGAAAAGAGAAGACAGTTCCTAGCTTCTGTTTATAAGCAATCTTGAAGCTGTTTAAAGCATGCCATTTAAAAGGGGGCTTGTATATTCAAGCACAGTCTATATTCCCCCTTGGCTTCCTACTGCCTGGACTCTCCTGTTAGATGATTTATGTATTTTTTTTTTTTTTGCAATATTTAATCCTCACAACTGGGTGAGATGGGTACCGTGGTGGTGAAGTTCTTGTGTCAAGTTGGCTGGGCCATTCTACTCAGATACTTGGCCAAATACCAATATAGGTCCTGCTGTGAGGGTTTTTTTTTTTTAAGATTAATATTTAAATCAGTAGATAGAGTAAAGCAGATTACCAGCTATAAGTGGGTGGGCCTCATTAAATCAGTTGAAGGACTTAGACTCAGAAAGAATAGACCCTCCCCCAACCTCTGGGAAGAGGAGAATCCGCATCCAAATGGCCTCCAGGTCCAGCTGTGGCATCAATCTTTTGCTTGCCCCAGCCTGCCAGCCAGCCCTATACACTATGAATTTTCTAGCTCCTATCATCACACAAGCCAGTTCTTTATGATGAACACTTCTGTTTCCTCCTCTCCAAGTGTGCACATGGGTCCCTTGGCTATACAGGTTTTGAAGAAATCAGCGCAGTGGTACTTATCATTAAAATGGACTTTCGTAGGAGCTAGATACTGTAATGCCAATTTATAGGATGTAGACTCTTATTTCTCACTCTTATTTCTCTCTCTTCCCCCTCTCTCTCCCTAATGATTTCACTGTGTGGTCCCTGCTGGCCACTAATTAGAAATGTAGACTAGCATTGAACTTGTGACTGTCCTCCTGTCTCTGACCTCCCAAGTGCTTGCATTACAAGCATGAACCACCAGGCCTGGCTTAGAAGTAGACTTTCAAATATCTTTAACATAACAAATAACACAATTAACCCCATATTGTGGAAATCACCTCTACTCTGCTACCTGACCCCTCCAAACCTCTCACACTGAGCTCTGAGGGTGCAGCCTACCCCCCCCCCCCCCTTC